GATACTTTGATTGATTCTGGGCGCCCAAAGATTGGAGTGACCACCACCAGCAGCCCTTGATTTTATTACGTGGAGCCCTTTTCCCTTGGATTTGTCTCACCTCTTCACATGATGAGCTGCAATAATTCAGCCCACCCCCTAAAAAAAGCAACAGTGTGCAACTGGGCAATTAAAACCTGTTCTCATTGCAAACCAGGTCGCCAAACCATTCAGCATTTCATACTGAGGGTAAGTTTGGGTTCTTTAGGAAAAGGAGGGGCTTCTGTGGGGTTAAGAAGAGGAATAGAAAATTGCTGTGTTCAAATTTGCGTTACTGTTTGAGTGTGGTGCATGGACAGGATTTTGGAGTTATGTCACTTCAATGTTGGTATGCTTTTTGCACAGCAATGTGGGACTGTAAGTAAAAAGGAGTAGCATGGATTTTCAAGGACGAAGTCGTAAATTTTAAGCTGCTCACTTTATTACATAAAAAAGATATGCATTGAGCAAAAATTGTTACAAAAAACTTAGGGCGTGTTCTTTTTTTGTTTGTAAACTTTGGAAAAAGTGTACAAATCATTTATATGTAGTGGTTTATTTTGGTGTCGTCTTTGTAACTGGGATGCCATATTTTCCTAGCCGTCTACTTCACATGTTATATACTCACTCTTTTGTCATACCTTCTTAAAGTTTTGGGATCAATTTCGTCAACTTAGATTTTCCTTTTTGGCTTGGCACAGTTTAATAGAAGGCGGAGTTCGACTCGGCGAGGTTGCGGTTGGAACTTGCGGTCATATGCAAACGTTACAAAGTTTGTTGTTTCTTCTTAGCAAAGAGTCTAGCTAGCTTATACACAGCTGTCGTCAAAGATGTTGTTTCTTCTTAATGAAGAAGCACGTTGAACTCATGTGTGTTTTCAGGGAAAAAGGTTGTGTGTCTTCTACATAAGTGTTGTAAGTTTTGATGTTTCTTATTAGTAAAGACGAAACTGCTCACTTTGTATACGATTGTTGTAAATTTTATTGTTTCCTCTTAATGAGAAGACACACTTGCCTTACAAGCGTTCTCGAAGAGTTGTTGTAAGAGAAGTTATGTCGCGTGTCTTGTACATAAGTGTCGTAAACATTGTTGTTTCTCATTAATAAGAAACTACTCAATTTGTACATGACTGTGCAATTTTTGTTCTTTCCTCTTAATAAGAAGATACACTTAATTCACACGCGTTCTCAGAAAGTTGTTGTAAGAGAAGTTATGTTGTTTAGTTTGGAATGTGGTATAGGAAAGTACATCCCTAATAACTTCCCAGATTCCAAAACATGCTCGCCTTGATCTTCAATTTCGTTAGAGCAAACTTGCAATAAGATACATGTTCTGGGCCATTGTAATGAAACGCTTTAGATGTTTTAATTAACACCCTGAATTCTAGGCATAATCTATCACCAAAATAACTACCATCTATTCAATGGGAATAAAATAAGCCTGCCATCCTTTTGAACTTTTTATATATCTTACGTGTATGATATAAATTTATATAAGTACTTAAATATGATTTCTTCTTCTTTATATTCTTTTATTTTGGTGCTTGTTGTTCAAATTCAAACTATATCCAGTAACTAGACATGTATTTAATGCCTAACAAATAATAGTGAATAAATTGAGAAAAATGCCTAACTTTGACTTGCACAATGTATTATACTACTTTTCATGTAGACCGTTATGGAGCATTTTATATAAATAATTTGAAAGGTAATATATAATGTGTCTTAATTTGATAGTTTATAAGAAAATGAAAACACAATAAGATGCAAGTAAGTGTTTGTATTATCTCAAGTGGATGTTTTTTTATAGGAGCTAAAAAGTTGCATGAGTACTCCAATATGAATTTTATGTCCATTCGAATCCCCCTTTTTTAGAAACTTGTTGTTCATATTTGAATTATATCTAGTAAATAGCTAGTGGTAATAAAATATAGTAAATAGTTGGAAGTGCATTTAATACCTCAAAAGACAAATAATTTCATAAAAGTACCTAACTTTGAAATGAAAAATTCATTTTACTATGCTCCATTTTACCATAATTGAGGCATTCTATATAATTTTTTTAGGTTCTTTACAACATAAGTTGGCATCTCAAAATATAAAATACAAATTATTACATAACAATTCGGAGCTTGAAGCTATTTTGTGCATACTAGTGTAAATGTAAGTTGCGTTATAAAGATGAAGGGAAAAATATGAAGATAACACTTCGTGGATCTCAAACTTCATAGTTTGTTTTTGAATGTTATGATGCTTCTTGCAGACACGTCACTCACAAAGAAATGCAGACTCCAAGATTTTTTTTTAAAAATCATGATCGCGTGCCAATTTTCGAAACAATATATACCACAGTTAGATTTTATGAAAGATGATAAACCAACAAGACGGATGTAAATGGTTTTCCCAAGCGGGCCTTTGATTTTTCTGCATGTTTTCTGGATATGGGCTAAAAAGTTATCGAAATACTAAAACATGAATTGTTCTTTCATTTAGAGACCTTTTTAGTTACTTGTAGTTTAGATTTTAAATATATTCGGTAAATTGCTAGAAAATATTTAATCCCTAAATAATAGAAAATAATTTTTAAAAAGGGGCCTAACATTTACATTAACAGTTTACCGTTGTATGTCCCATGTAGAAAATTTTGGATCATACAGGTAAGTAATTTTTGCAATGTACTACACATAAGACGTTAACTTAGTATTTAAAAAAAGTAAAATACAAATTATTACACAAAAAGAAGGAACATGAAGGTATATTAGTGCATAATAATGTAAAATCAAGTTGTGGTCTTTTTTTCAAGGGCAAATGGTCATAAAAATGTTTCATGGTATTCAAACTTCATAGTTTTCCTTTGAATGCTATGATGCTATCTCTCAAATGTGTGATTTTATGGATAGTTGTATTATCTATTTTTGGTGGAATTTTATAATTTTATAGATAACTCATACAAGATCATCATACGAGGCCATGCCATTTTTTGTAAATTTTATACCAAATTAAGATTTTATTAAAGAAAGAAAAAATGCATGCAAAGGTTTGAGTTTCTATGAGCAAGCATTTTTTTAAATATTTTGTGGATATAATCCAAAATGCATAGAATTACTTAAATAAGAATATTATTTGAATTGAGGGGTTTTATTTTAGATACATGTAGTTCCAGTTTGAATTATACCCACTAAGTAGCTAAGAATTCATTTAATGCTTAAATGAGTAGCAAGTGATTTTTTTAAAAAATCCTTAACTTTTGCACGAACAATGTAATGTACTCCCTCCGTTCCGATTTACTCGTCGTGGTTTTAGTTCAAATTTGAACTGAAACCACGATGAGTAAATCGGAACGGAGGAAGTAGTACGTTCGATGCAAAAAAAATAGAGTAACCCAGATAAAATATGTTTTGAATGCACTACACGAAGTACCTTAACTTGGTGATTCAAAAAATAAAAATATAGCTTGCATAACAATATGGAACATGGTTCTAATTAATCTAAAATGAAGATGCAATCTCCATATTTTTGTGTACCCACGACTGCTTTTCGTTGACAATAACCAAGACCAAAACCCTAAGATGTTAAGATAGCTTATGTAGTTGGCATTGGAATTAAGATATCTGGTCATCTTTCTCACACTCGAAGTGAAAAACATGTTCTATTCAACTCAATGAAGGACATGATGCTTATGCTGGTGAATTGTTTACTTGAAATCATCCAGGGGCACTCGATCAACAATAAATTACATTTTAACAAAAAAAAACTCCCTTGAGAACCTACGTCGGTGAGGGGTTATGAGATTTTGGGGAGCGTTTCGGTGCAACTGTTCGCTCTGAATCGACAACATTTGTGTCTGCCTGCTTCGACTACTTTATGGCGGACGACCACCTTGCCTTCACCACTATGCTCCAAGATGTTGCACCAGAGTTCCTGGTGCCCTCGTATGTAATGACCCTCTTTCTTTTGACGTGTGCCATTGATCCATATGCGTATGTGCTAGATGTTTTTAAGTCTCTTGTGTATGAATTGCCATGTCAGTAATCTTGTGATGATACTAACCTGGATTAAGATTAAACAAAAGCTGCCTAATTTCCTAACAATACATGTATCCGTGTAAGAAATATATGATTTTGGAGCTTTTAACTAGCATTTTTTTTATTTTAGGAAAATGCCGGGCTCCAGTAGCCAAAACATCGCACTCGTGTTTGGGTGCAAGTATTCTGGCTCGTGCCTTTGTGCATCTCCAAGCAGAGACCAGGACAGGTGCTACAACCCAATTGCCGTCACCCTCTGACCAGTGAGATCACCGAACTAGCAGCCACCTGCGTGGCTTTGACCTCCTGTAACAGACGCGCGCAGACCTGCAATCTGCTTTAACCATTCACAATAATAAACTCAAACATTTTGCACACTTTGAGGCAAAAATACTTACTTAAAATAACAGTGACACGTGATAAGGGAAGGCGTCAAAGACTTAAAGCCGACGGCTAAACAAAGCACAAAGCCGTCGTAATTCAGAACCCTCGCCGACATATTTCGAATTGCCGCAGCCTGTGGAGGCGATTCCCGGGAACAAAACGATCGTATCGGCAGGCAAAACAAAAGCAGGTGAGGATCGAAAGAAAGCGAAAGAGAAGATTACAACGGGAGCAGTAAAGAAAGCGGATCGAGGAAGAAGCTAACGTACATCGCCCAGCCAAAGGCCAAAGCGGCGGCACGTAGAGGAAGGCAGCGAGCGAATCACGAGGAAAGCAAGCCGGGAGATAGAGAGAGAGCAGTCAGCCAACCACCCCTATCTTTTGCTTTCGTTGCTTCGTTTGGACTTTGGTACTACGTACGTACTCTGCTAACTGACTTTGGCCGCGACTGACACTGGACTGACCCCGGCGAGCGAGGTCGCCCCAAGGGAAGGAAATAAAACAAGTGACGCATTGGCCAACTGGTGTATGTACACAGGGGGTGCGTTACGGGGCGGCGGTGGACTTGGCATGCATGTCGCGGCTGCACGCTCTGGGCTCTGGCGTTGGAGGGAAAAAGCCGTCCTATTTAAGCACGCCCGGCCGCCGCACTCTGACCGCCCCGCTCACACACACTCGCTCCCTCTCTCTCTCTCGCTCGCTAGCTCTCGGTGCCAGACAAGCGAGTGACGCGGCTCATCATACCGAGGGAGGCCGTTGCTGCTGCTGCACCATGGAGACAGCGCAGGAAAGAGAGCTGCTGCAGCTGCAGCTGCAGGGGTGGCCTTTCCACGCCATGCCGCCCAGCTTCGACGCCGGCAACGGCGCCTACAGCGGCAGCGGCAGCAGCAGCATGAGCAGCGACGTCGGCGGCGGCGACTCCTTCCTGCTCGGGTGGGAGCAGCCGTTCGGCGGCTGCTTCGGCCTCGCCGACGCGCAACTCCACGACCTCTTCCCCCTCTGTACGTCGTGCGCGCGCCGGCATCATGCCCGTGCTCTGTTTTCCTCTTCGGCAGCTCCGGCAGAGAATTGAACTCGCCGTTTCTTCGACTGCAGGCATGATGGAGCCGCTCGCGTTGTCGCCGGCCGCGACGTCCACGGCGGCGGACCTCCCGTCGGAGCAGCAGGTCCCGGCGCCGGCGGCAATGCCCAACGGGGAGCTCGGCGACCTCCTGCTGGTACACACACGCTGCCCGGCGAAGCAACCTACTATCCTTATCTTTCGCGTCCGAATTAACTACGGCAGTTTCTTGCGAGATTTCCTCGGTCGTGTTAAAACCGTCGCTTTCTCTCATTGTTTCCTCTCGGCAGAATTTCTGGGACGCCGGTGATGCGAGAGAGCGGCCGGTCGCAATCAATTCGGGCTGCGTGCCACCGCAGCACGAGAAGAGCAGCCAGAGCAGCGCTGCCACGGCCACGAACTCTTTCCTCTGTAAGCAAAGTCCGTCCCTCCCTCTCTCAGACTCCATTGATCGGCTTCAGCTCTCGGTAGGCCTGTGTTCTTTCCTCTAGGTCTCTGCCCCGGTCCTTGGCACATCACCAAGGAGGCAAGGACAAAGCACAAAATCGTAGAGTTCGCATTTAACTATGGAAGCTTGTCAATGCCATGCGTTCAAAAACGCCATGTGGGGCCGGGGTGGGTGGGTGGGACCCGCCCAAGATTAGCAGCGCCTAATTGTCATGGCCTGATGACCCTATGATTTGCGCATGGTCGCTAAGTAATATATACTCCAGTACTATATCGCGGTACGGTAGGATTGCACCATAATAGTATTGCAATGTGCATGTTATAATAGTGTGGACTTGTTAGTGAGCACGTAGAGACAGGCGCTTCTTTTCAAGTAAAGACAGATCTGGGTGTTGCATGTTTAGATGGTAGCAAAGATTCTAATCTTGTGCGGGACTGCTCCTGCCAAAGTCACACCTTTTACGTGATCACTTCATTATTTTTAAGGCACACTGGGTATGTGAATTGAATGATTATTAATCGGTTGATGATCGCTGCCGCAGATGATGAGGACGATCTTTTGGGCTCCATTTTCTCCAAGAGGCCCACCCTGGCAGAAGAACCACCCGTGCTCTTCCTCGCCCCGGCGGAGGCGGAGCCCCTCCCCAGCACCTCCTCCTCCTCCAGCTGCCACGCGGACCCACATGCCAGCGACGCCGGCGGGGCCCGGGCTCAGGACACCACCACCAAGCCAAGTGGCGCGCGGGCCCCGCCTCTCCCTCGCTGCTCCTCCTCGTCGTTGAAACGGGCGACACCAGAAGGTGCTCTCTCGACCTCGACGCGACACGCTTCACAGTCACCTCCACCCACTCTCAAGAACTGTCTAATCACATAATCTAAGGAGTAATTAACTTTGACTGGCGTCGTGTCTGGCAGCAGCATCGGAGTCGGCGGAGGCGGAGTGCAGCCAGAGCGGCGGCAAGCGGCGGAAGGTGTCGGCGAGCGTGCTGTGCCCGTTCGCCGTGCTGAAGCCCGACGGGCTGGACGGCGGCGCGACGCTGGCGGACATCAACGCGCGCATCCTCATGCGGCCGGCGCGGCCCGTGCGGCACCCCGTCGGCGAGTACGCGTGCGCGCCGCGCGTGCTGGCGGCCGACGCGCCGGGCATCTCCGGCAGGGCCGTCTCGGGGTTCACGAGGCTGCACACCCCCGGCCGCGGCACCATTACCATCATGAGGACGCGAGGCTAATGCATCCATCATTGCAGGCCATGTCTGCCTGCTGCGCCCATGGACGACGATGCATGATGATGGCGTACTCCGTGTAGATTAGCCCGGCTCAATCAGTGCATGGCTAGCTAGATAGACGCTCGATCGCTAGCCAGCAGCACGTAGCAGTACTCCCGATCCCGAGTTCCGATGCCGTGTAATTATATGCTCGATTATTACATAAGGAGTGGGTGAGTGAATGAATAAAATCCTTCCATTTCTCTTCTCCGGATCTCGTTTTTCATCTTCTTCTCGGATGCTCTGATAGCGATAGCGAAGGTTTCCTTGGATCGTCCGTCGCCGTTGCAAGGAACAAAGCCCGGCTGCTGGCCCCTGTCCTTGTGCTCCTGGTAGCCAAGCAGGCTGTGTTTACGGCCGCATACATACAACCCCGAAAAGCTGAAAGCAACTGCCTTTCCTTTTGTCTGCAAGGCGTGGGCCCGCTCCTCAATTCGAGCTGCCTCCATGGCTCTTTGCATGAGATCTTTTTTTCTTTTTGCAAAAGAATGGACTTGACTTGAGCATACATTGTTAATCACCACTCACTGCAAAGCCTTCCTCTGGAATGGCTTCTTTCTGTTTGTTTAAAACAAAACGCTGTCCGGCAAAGAGAATATACGAAGGATAAAGACGGTGGTAGAGCACGGCAGGATAAAAACTACTTCCTTCATTCCACAATGTAGTGCCTATACATTTTTATGAAAGTCAAACTTTATCAACTTTGACCAAGTGTATAGAGAAAATTGTCTACATCTACAATACCAAACATGTACATTTTGAAAATATAACTCACAATTTATCCAATGATGTGCATTTGGTATTCCAGACGTACCTACTTTTTTATATAAACATGGCCAAAGTTTATAATGTTTGACTTCTGTAAAAAATCTATAGGCACTACATTATAAAAGCGGAGGGAGTACCAAAGTAAAAAAGATTAAGAAATAAAGAAAGACAGTCGAGAGGATTTGATTTGAGGAAACGAAAGCAGGGTTCGGGACGGGAGCAAGGTAAAAAAGCAAAGCGGGACGGGTTCATCATTGTGGTCACGCAAAAGCAGAGCAAAGCGTGGCCGCCGGGACACTGTAGCGTGCTCGCCCGCTACACGGGCAGGGCAGGGCGGAACCGGCTCCTCTACCGTGCTGTTAAGCACGGCACCCTGCCGTGCCTCCTTGTGGCGCTAGTGGACGCAGGCATATGGGCCTTGCCAAAAATCAATGTAGCTACCCAGCCCATCCGTTCGATGCATCACACACCTGAATAGATTAACGAATTAGTAATTATAATTAATACAGTACATGACTAACTAAAGTAAACTTGTTTCAAAAAAATAGTTTTACAAAATCTCAGTCTTTTTTTTACGTGGAGCGGAATATGTCATTTTCCTATTTTCTATTTATTATTTTAATCCATTCAATTGTACTTTTAATTTTATTTTTGTGTGCTTTTATTTTTACCACATCCGCCGACCACACATAATTTTAGCTGCCTTCCAACCGATCGTGCGCAACTGCAGTGGCATGCATGTGCACCGGTGATCTGCCCCTTGAGTTCATGAGGGTGGGAGATTTGTTGAGAGAGCGAGCGAGCGAGGCGATGAGGGCGAGCGCTCAGGCGATCCAGAGACTATGGATATTCCTCCTATTAGGGAGAGAACAAGTGTCGCGCCTTGGTCGGCTGCATAGCCGCCTCTCTCATGACTCTGACAAATATATTCATGTATTAAAAACATAAAACTAGAAAAAGAAGAATGAAAGAAAAGTGTGTTATTTAAAATCATATTTTTTTAATACATTGTGAAACTTGTGAGCGAGGCGGCTACACAACCGAGCAGGAAACTCTAGCCGCAACCCGGTGGCGACCAGAGGGATACAACACGACGATCTTTAACTATAGTTAAATGCGATCGATGGACATGCAATTGTAGTTGCACCCCCATGCCCTGACGTGCGACTGCAGTTGCGCATGATATGTTGGCATGAAATTCTAGTTTTGTTTGGGCGATGAATGTGGTAAAAATAAAACCGACACACATAAAAATAAATGTACCAATCAAACTGGTCAAAATAATAAATAGAAAGGACATATTCCGCTTTGAGCAAAATAAGACTGAGATTAGCAAAGCAATTTTTTCTGAAATGAGTTCATTTTTGTTTCACAGTATTATCTAAAAGAACACAAAAACAAAAATAAAGGTACCAATCGAACCGATTAAAATAATAAATAGAAAATAGGAAAATGACATATTCTGCTCCAAGTAAAATAAGATTGAGATTTAATAAAAATGTTTTTCTGAGATGAGTTTATTTTCGTTAGCCATGTATTGTATTAATTATAGTTAATTCATTTTTCTATTTTTAGGTAATTAATCTTTTTTTAGTAGGACGGTGTGATGGATAGAACGGCTGGGCTGAGTTAGTTTTGTTTTTGACAAGGCCCATATGCATGCGACCGCTAGCGCCACAAGGAGGCACGGCAGGGTGCCGTGCTTAACAGCACGGTAGAGGAGCCGGACGGGGGCAGGGCACGGCACGGCGGCGAACGCTACGGCGGAGCAGAGCATGTCGCAAAAGGGAAATGTTCCCCCTGCCCTGCTGCTGCGATTCAAATGAGAGGGTACGTAGGTCGATCGAGTGGCTGGTGGTAGGAAAAGTCAGGGCGCACAAGGTTCCAGGGCTGCCGATGATGCACGCGGCAAGTCAACACGCCGCTGGGAGATAATGTGGGCATGCCTGATTGTTCATGGGGATTTCGTAGGGCACAGGTGGTGGATTCCGGCAGAATTTGGGCGTCAGTCGTGTGATGAGTGCCGTCGTGGCTCTGTGGCTCAAGGCTGTGGTCAAAGCTGTTTCGTGGATTCCAAACTCATGACATCAATCGGACGGCGTGGACGATGGCTGGCTGTGGGTGTATCTTGTGAATGTGTGTGGTGGGACAGTGGTCGCCAGAGGTTAGGTTAAGGTCAGCCATGCACCAACTTTTGAATTAAATGCGTGGAAGCAGAAGATTGTCGAATAAAAAGTAGTGTTGAGCTTTTCAGTTTCAAAATCTGGAATTCATAATTCAGCTAAAGTTGAATAATTTGAGGCAACTTTTGGTTTGAGGGGATCATAGTTTCGTTTATCATTCGTAAGAATTTGATAATAATGTCCAGGTGGATTTGTAAAATTCATGTCCAGGTGGAAATTTTCTACATTTTTCCTTGGCTACATTTCTTTGAATCACATGTATGAATAGTATCACTGTAGGAAAAAAATCTTATGATTTTTCTCCATTTATCCTTTGAACAAAAGAGGCCATCAGTACCTTTCTGTAGGAGTACTCAAAGTAAATTTCAGATGTGAATATTCTACTCCATCCGTATTTATTTACTTCCAATATTAGCTTGTATTAAGTCAAACTTGGCTAATTTTGACCAACTATAGATAACAAATTATTTACGGCTACAATACCAAACAAATACCATTAGATTCATCATTGAATATATTTTCATGCCATATATACTCACTTTGTCTTAAAGTATAAGACAGAGTAAATACTCATATTGTTTATATTTTGAGACATGGGTAGTATTTGTTATGGTAAATACTCGTATTATTTTCAATAAACTTTGTCAAATTTATAAAGTTTCACTTTATACAAACCTAATATGTAGAGTAAAAACAAATGTAGAGAATATTTGCTACGTATAACCTGGAGGATTTTTCTTCTTCCAGCTGAGTATATTAAACCCGACTTATCTCCTTCCCTTGGCAGCTAGGGCAAACTCTTCCCTCCAGACTTTGCCGGTGAGCCCGTGGATTCGTCTCCCCTCCACCTTCCGCTCCGGCGGCCGGTGGCAGGGAGGGGAATCTCGATGCCTCGGCTTCGGATAGTAGTTCAGGTTAGGATTTTTTTAGTCCTCGCAGGTGTGGCGCTCGGGTGGATGGCGGCGCTTTTTCTTCAAGTTTGTATTTCGTGCTCCGATCCTCCTCGAGTTTGTCCATCTGGACGTAGTTGACAGAGGTCCGGCGTACATTCCTACTGTCTCCTTCGGGCAGTGAGGTTAGGATTTCTCGTCGTGTGGCGAGATTTGGTGTGGGGTGCTTCAGATCTATTCAAGGGTTCAACAACGACAACCACGGCTCCAAGACGCTAGTCCTTAGGGGCACGTGTACGAAGACTTCCCGGCTGGTCAAGCCGGCTCCAATAAGGGAGCGGCGACAGCGGCACGTCGGCGGCTCCTTCTGGCGGAGATAGTGATCGTTCGGTGGTCTCGGTATCTTGATGCTATTTTTATTATGTTTGAGGTTCTTTGTATTTCCGGTGAACTTTAATAATAAATCTGAATCATTTTCACACAAAAAACTTATCTCTTTTTTTTTACGAAACCATAACATACTATCTATTATTATGTATATGAATATATTGGCATGAAACACATGAGATTCCCTATTTTACCTTCGACCTACCAATAGCTACCACCCATTTGATGCATGGGCCATTCCACCTTGTTGAGACCCCTCTCGTGTTAATTCCCCTAAGACTTGATCCATGCGATTTAAAGTACTCGTGACATAGCGCTGAGGCATTATTTAACGTGAAGAACTTCACGAGGCATGATTCGGACCAAGGTTTGGTAGAGCTAGAGCGTGCATGCAGTTACTGCTGCACCCACCCACCTACATGTAAGTTGGCCTACACATGTTAACGTGCGCGGCAAACTTGTGGCTGGAATCAGTGCAGATCAACTCTGGGCCTGTAATTAGTGCATCTGCAGAGTATATATTTGGTTTCAAAGCTGCGGGCTAATGCGGGCCTGACAGTGTTCCAAACTTCCAACACACAAAAATAATGCAGATTTTGACTGCTGAAAGCTTATTACAAGGCGGCAGGAAAGGCATGCAGACAGAGGAAAAGTCGAGTTGAATTCGTTGCATGCACGCATGTTTGCTGACATCTTAATACCAGGGACGATAAGCTGCTAGTGACAATTGCACCAC